TTTCTCATCATGGAATGAACGTCTACCGTCCGCGCGTCTGCGAACATGCCAGATGCACTACAATGATGCGGCAGTCCCAAAAGCACTCTGAAGCCGTTCCTGTACTGTACACGGAAAGAGTCCATTATTTTGTAGAATATCTGGTCCACAGGGCGCTCGTGTAGAACGTTTGGCAGTAAGCTTTAAATAACTTCATCTTGGCCCTACGTTCTCGCTCAATGACTGCATGATCTTTAGAGGTCCTCGTAAACATAATGACCTAGATATTTAAAAAGTTTCACTCGTTGGTGAGTTATTTAATTTGATGACAAGTTCATATTTAGATGACTTCCTCGGGCCTCAAAGATAATGTACTCGCTTTTTTTCGCGATAGAAATCAAGCCATGATCACCACAATGCTTTGCACAAATATCAAGTAGGTAGGTGTCTGATAGAGCCCGCCGTGGAACCCAGTAGCACCATATCGTCTGCGTAAATCAAATTGTTGACAGCTACGCCATCTACCCAGCAGATTAATGAATCAGTGCAGTAAACTATGGCCTAAACCCCTAGTTAAGGGTGTACGAAAACAGCCTCCACACGACATACCATTCGGCGAGTTCTTCACACCGAAATCCTTTTACCACACTGGCAAGCATTACAGTATATTACCATCGAGACCATATTGTAGTTAGACCCATGACGTACATGGGCTTGTACACGTTTATTCAATAGACAATTCGTTTTACATTACTACACACTTACATTATAGAAACAATAGACAATAAAACTATACGGCCGTACGGGCCACTAAAAGATATTTGATTACCAGTGTTTCCTGCAAAAACGATTGCGGTACAATGTAACTAATAGTTATTGTAAACTAATATGGAGATTGCTACAGGCATAGCCCATCAGTTAAAAGTACTGTGGAGTAATTTTCCGAAAAATTTCAAATAGTAAAAATTTTTCCGGAAAAAATCTCGAAAAATTGAAAAAATATAATTTTATTTTATTTTATTATAGCCATGTAAAAAAACGAGATTTAAAATTATCTCAGAACAGCGATAAAAAGTTGTCCTTTAGTACCAGTAGACCGGTTTGGGACAGAGTTCGTCCAGGGAAATACTGCCAGGTCCAAGTTATACGTTCAGGGAACAAGTCTGCAGGCAGAGAATTCCACTCCATAGTCGTTCGCCATATAAATGTGGAAGCGTAACGCTTCGTGCGAATCTTTGGAATATCCACAACATAGGGGTGAAACCCAAGCCTACGCCTAATCCCCCGGTGATGGAAAGGGGAAGGCGGAATTAAATCGTGTAATTCCATCGCACACTCTCCGTGATATATCCTGTAAAATACCGATAAGCAGGCAACTTTACGGCGGTGTTCAAGGCTCTGCAGCTTCGCCTCTACTAATTCCATGTCACCTATAAGCCTCTTGACACGCTTGACAATTGAATTCAAGGTGGCCAGTTGATATGTAGCAGAGCCATCCCATAGGTGACAGCCGTCCTCCATACACGACCGGATTTGTGCTTGATACAGCTGAAGCAACTGTCCTGGTGTGAAGTAACGCCTCACCCTGGAAAGGATGCCAAGCTCCCTGGCTAAAGAAATGGAATGCTCTAATATATTTCTCGAAAAGTACAATTTGGGGCTATTCAAGGCTAGAGTGAATAGGCATTTTTTAGGCAAACGCGTCACATCGTCGCTTAACATCAGGCGAGATTGTGGCCAAGCGCGTGTCTATTATATATTTAAAAAAATGCTGAGTCATTGTTGTTTCTCCTTAATTTTTTGACTAAAAATAACAAACATTGAGAAAACAGTATAATATACAAATAGAATTCGCAGAGAGGAGAATCTACAACAATACACAGATGATTACAGAAACAAATTGTTACTTTTAATAAATTTACGCAGGACATACACAAAGCGGGAGTGAACTAACGTTAGGAGGAAGTTGATATTAACGGGACGGGGGACTTTAGGGGGGAGTATATCATACAGAGGAGTAGGCAACGATACGGTGCAGTCAAAACACAGGTACTCAAGGGTACCTTCCGCTAGACCACACTCGCACTCGAGTGGTCTCGAACACGGATCTTAGCCAAGATTTCCCAAAAGATTTCAATTAATACACATGGGACTTGTGAACTTGTCTCAGGGCGACGGGCGCAGTGAGGGTGCCCCATCGAGTATATAACCAGAAATAGAGGCGAAATGTCATTCAATTTGTTTGAAAACTATTCTGCCATATCATTACTGTAACAACTGCGCTCTGATTGGCTAGCCCGAGTTCGAAACAATTGACGGGTGTCGTCAACTGTTTCACTTCAAATTGACCAGTTAACTTGAGGTTTGCTATAATGGACGAAAATTGCAACATTACATATTTAATTACCGATGAAATGTGATTCCGTTTGTTTTGTAATTAGATGTTTTCCTACACCACCGAATAGAACAACACGGCATTGTTAGAGATATTATCTTTATTACAATAAATACATAATATTTTTTGGAATATACGGAGACGCACACACAGGTCAGCAGTTGGCCTGTCTATATTTCAGTGCAAACGAGAGTTGATTTTTATAAGAGCTGTATCGCTAATGCGTTACCAGGAATATATGGCCCTTATTTCGTCTCTATTTCTGGTTATATACTCGATGGGAAGCCCCTATGACCTTTGCGATTTAAAGCTTTGAGTGGCAAATAAAAATAAGTCTATTTTAATTCAGGGTCTTCTTAAGCTTCAAAGTTAAAGATGAAATAAAAATGCATCGCTTAGGTAACCAAACGGTGTTTTTATTAATTTTTCTAAACAACGAAACTTACACAACGGAACTAATAAATAATTATATAATAAACCATGTACGCACCGGCGCAACGAATAAAACCAAATCATTGCATTTAAATACAGACATGGCGTTGGTCAGACTCAATCAACACCAGTGTGATTGGTCGGTCACCATTACACGTGATATTGGAGTCAAGTGGTTTGGTGTTCCTTTCGTACACAATTTCAAGCGATTGGTAAAATTTAATTTCGAACTGCATTCTCGAATGAACTACAGTTACAGTACAACACCGTATCTTCAAGACTAAAATGACTAATTCGAAAAAAATTTGTTTTTGGAGAGAGAGACTAACTAAAAAAAGGAAATTGGGAAATAAATGTTAAGTATAAATAGGTTTTCATATCAAATACAATTTTGTCATACTTGGCATCAACCAAACGTTATACGAGTATGTGGTTGATAATATGTATATTTAGCAGCAGTAGAGCTTCTTGTGAGAGAGTTCGTCCAGGGAAGTACTGCCACCTTATCTATTTCTGCTGCCAAGCAGTAATATGAGCATTACTGCGTTCCGGTATTGATGGGTAAGAGTGCTGGTGAAATTACAGGCACGTGGGACTTCTTAACTTTACATATCGGGGCGACGGGCACAATAGCAGTGCCTCCGAGATCTTTGCGATTTAAAGCTCTGAGTGGCACTGCAACTGTTATGGACAGGCGTGTCGCTTACCACCAGGCGCACGACTTGTTCGTCCCGTCATTTGGCATCATAAAAAATTACCAATAATAGCTAGCTTTACTTACCTACGTATTAGCGTGCATTAATGAGTTCCAAAAATGTATTTGTCCCTTAAAAATTTAGTTTTTATCGAATTCAGAATCGACAATTTTGCGGCGGTGTGTACATGGTTTAATTTTATAATAAATTATAAAATAACAATGATAATATATTATTACACAATTAAAATAATTATATATAATGTCAAACTTGTGCCATATTTATTTATTTAGGCATCGTATCAGATTTTACAAAATTCATTAAAACCTCTTTGGCACTGAAAAAAATTATAATCTTTACCGTAAAGACCCGTGCCCAGAAGAGGGACGTATCGTCCCTATCCTCCCAGACTGTTCTCTCTGACAATTTAGTTGTAACTTAATAAAACGTACGACATAAGAACGCCTTGAAATTAGACCAGAGACACCACAGTGGCGCTGCAGTCGCACCATTACTAATTGTCATACAATAGTTAGAAGCGCAGATGCAGCGCTGCTGTCGTAACATGCGCACGCCACTTTTCCAATCACAATTACTAAACTAAGAATTAAGTCGAGTCACCGGAGAAGGAGCAGGAAAAATTGTTTTGCAAGATCAATAAATGGTTTAGATATCGACGCTGGAAAGGAAAAAGGGCTAACAGACCATTTTTAGGCAAATGGACTTGTGTATATCATTAAACCTGGACCTCATAAGGCTCAAGGTCACTCAGCGGACAATGGAGAGAGCGATGCTCGGTATTTCCCTACGTGATAGAATCAGAAATGAGGAAATCCGTAGGAGAACTAAGGTAACCGACATAGCTCGAAGAATTGCTCAGCTGAAGTGGCAGTGGGCGGGGCACATAGCTAGGAGAACCGATGGCCGTTGCGACGGAAAGGTTCGTCAATGCGACCGCGCACCGGACGACGCTCAGTGGGTAGCCCCCAAAGGTGGACCGACGATCTGGTAAAGGTCGCGGGAAGCCGATGGATGCGGGCAGCGCAGAACCGATCGTCGTGGAGATCGTTGGAGGAGGCCTATGCCCAGCAGTGGGCGTCGTATGGCTGAATGATGATGATATCATTGAAATCAGCGAATTTTTCGCGTGTAACCAACTAGGATTGACGGCGATCTGACCACTTTTTGGTCTGTTACGACGTTTTGCAAAAGGCGCCAACAGACCAGAATTTTGCAACATTTCATTACACTTGTTATTAGACAATACTTGAGATGACATATTGGGGTCTTAGTTGCTTTCGTGGTCTTTACTTCAGTGTGTCATGACTTGTTAGTCTTTTTGCCTGATTCTGAAAAAAGCTTTAGTGCACGTTAGACCTTTTTCTTAGCATTAATTTATATAAAAGCTATTAAGACGAGGTGGCAAATTATAAAGACGTACCATTTATACAAATAGTCGGAAAAATAGTACAATTTAATATTATTTATTATTAAATAACGGTGTTACAAAAAATATACGATACACCTAAGGATATTGTCTAAAAAATGTGATAATTAGTTACACGATAGGGTGTACTTCGCCCAATCATATAAAATCCTGAAAGCAAGCAAAAAAAATTTGCATTTGAGATATTTCCAGAGTTTGCAACTGAAGCCGTATTAGTTATTGACATTTATCCCAAAATTTGCAAATTGCCCAGCGGTTTAATGACATGCCGCGCCGCCCGCTGCCCCGTCAGTCGCCATCGAGCGCTTGTCGACGTCGGATCTGTGTCAAATTTTATCCGCCCGTTCTTGATTTATTCATATTAATTTACAGCGCGCGGACTTCGGGACGAGAGGCGACCCCTCACGCTTTGAAGACCTCGCCTTAATTAAGTTCTATAGACACGCAGCTGTCGCGCAATTACAAAGTTTCCATAGGCGTCTAATTCGAAGGCGCGATTACTTAACTTTTGACCCCTTTTTACATATGAATATAACTTATTAATAGAACCAATTATCTTAAACAAATTCACCTTATGCCAGTTAGAACAGTTAGCCAGGAAAGAGACAATATTAAAAGCTAACATTATCATTTATCCCCTTTTCAGTATATATCTAAAGGTTTATAGCCTACCGGTTTCAAAATCCACAGCTAACAAACAATACTGTATACTTTATTCATTAAAAACAATGCCCATGTATCTCGCGACAAATAGGGAATTTTTTGTTGTTGGCAGTACTGGGTGTAATTGGAATAAACGTTTTTGATAGTTGTGATTTTCTTTAACATTCCGCAGATGGGAAATATAGTACCTTATCATTACGTAACGTAGCTAGGTTTCTTTATTCGACCAGTCTGGGCTAGGTATTCAGTGACAATCACCGCCTGCCAGTCCGCGTATATCAGTTGGCCAGCCATACACTGCATGTCAGCGTCAAAAACAGCCATAACAATTATGAATTTATAACGTTTCTTGTATTCCATCCATTTTAAATAAATCTCCCTAGCTGAAAATGAGGAGATTGGCGTATGTATTTACAAAAAATAAAAGTATCAAAACTGTTTGATCGTTGTCGGTCTAATTAAAGATGTCAAATTCGGGTTGCCATATAAAATTCTCATTTTGTTTTTAATTTGTATCACAACATTCTAGTGCACTCGCACGTGTTATAATATAACAAATAGGTACATACCATTAGGTAATTCAATCGTATCTTTTGGCGTCAAATCGTGTATAAAATTGGACAGAAAAATTTGGACAGTAGCATAAAAAACAAAGTCGACCACCGTGGCGTAAAGAAAGAGATTGATCAAAGTAAAAGTTCCACGTTTAGCGTGACGCCAGACGAACGTAATCTTGTAAGTTATGCGTCGCGTTTTTGAGTCGCTAAATTTACCCTTAATTCGGTTTCATATGAAAGTCCCAATAGTGCCACACGGCGACGCAAAATGAGCTGTCTGAATGAATGAAAGTAAACAACGAGCATCACAACTCACAAAACTACCCTGCTCTGGCATCATCCCTTAAACCAACGACCGTGCATTCCGGGACTGTTTCATGCAATATTTCAGTCCAATATTAAATAATAAATATATCGCACTGTTAATACAATAGCGTGTTACCTCAAAAAGTGCATTTTCTCAGGATCGACGAAAAATTCATTACTCGCTTCCCGTGAAAATTTCCTACTTGCCAAATATACATATTTAATAAATAAAAGAGAAAAAATTGTTTCATATTTTTGAACAAGGACTATTTTGGCCAGAACTAACTCACATAAAGCGTGTCTCATTTTGAGTTAATTAGATATCTTTTACTTGCTTTTTACAATATTCTAACGACGGTTTTATTGACGTGTAGAGAATCAAATTTTACGTTCAACTATGGTATAATCTTGAATTTCACATATTTTGAGTTATAACACTATTGTAATAGCAGTGTGATATATATCTATTATACTATATTAGAGCCTATACACACGGCGTATTTTATACGCGCCATAAAAGCGCTGTAGTGAATCGATTCAAACGCGCGCAAACATCGCGTTGAAAGTAAGAACTTTATTTATACTCCACTGGAGTTTACACTTGAATTTCACGTAGTTTTAGAAATTAACAAACCAAAGTAAAGTTAAAATAAAATGTATATATAATAGTAAAGTTAAAATAAAATGTATAATCTCTGTACAGAGTACTAAAAAAACGACCTTAAAAACGACCTTAAAAGTTATTCATCCCCTAGTTTGCCACCCTTGGAGGTGGAATATTTTTCTTCAAATTTAAATGGGACCATTTCTGAGGTACCTTCATTCCAAAAAAAAAAAGAATCATCAAAATCCATTCACAAATCGCTATCGCGTAACATACATACATAAAAAAACATATAGTCGAATTAAGAACCTTCTTTTTTTTAAAGTCGGTTAACTATCCCTTATAAAAATGCGCGATACATACGCACGACTACAGCTCGTCGTCGGCTTGTATAAAATACGCTATATGCATAGATTCTTAATAACCCCATCTTTAAGGGAAGATGAACGCAATTTGCTCGTTTTCGGCAAAATATCGTAAGTACTGACTTCAGTGGAATGATTTCTAAAACATGTAAAGCTGTTACATAAACTCAAGTCTAGTGTACTTCAAAACTCTTATAAGACTTTATCTGTTGTTCCTAGAGCTCAAAAAATTTGGCTCAATATAAATTATGTTCCGTTTACCCCATTATGACCCTATAACTCTTTAATACTCCGTCCACCTATTTATTTTACTTTTGCAAAAAAATAAAAATGCAATATTACATGTACGCTTTTTTTCTTTACTATAGTGAAGCGACACTTTAGCTCCGATATTTATCGAGCCAACAGATTACGTAACGAAGATTATTCAAGCTGATAAATTTTGGTACCTATCTAGTAAATAATAATGAAAATAAATAAATTATAAATATAGGAAATGAAACTATTTTTCCGGATTTAAATCGCGTATATTTGTTTTTTCAAACAAACCGACGTTTCGGGCCCTTTACAGGTCCCATGGTCACGGTTCAACCGTCGCGAAAACCTAAGAACTCGATAAATTATAAATAATTATAATAAATTATTTTTTATATTTTGACGACCTCTGTGGTCGAGTGGCTTGCACACCGGTTTTCATGGTGTCGCTATCTCTGAGGTCCCGGGTTCGATGCCCGGCCGGGTCAGTGTAGAAAAGTAAGTTTTCTATATTGTCTCCGGTCTGGGTGTTTGTGGTACCGTCGTTGTTTCCGATTTCCATAACACAAGGGGTTTATCTTAGTTTGGAATCAGAGAAATGTGTGTGATGTTGTCTAATATTTATATTTATTATAATGAATCGCCGGATTCTTCTTCATATGAACGGGAATTATCATTTGAATCCTCAGTAAGATAGTATATACAAACTGTCAAACGCAGCACCACGATCCCAATCAGACAAGGTCTTCTTTTTTATACCCGCTCACATTCACAATCAAAACTTCTTCATAAATAAAATCGAGCGTTATAAAAAAAATATCGGAAACGCTTTAGAACATCACTAATTGATTTAGAATTCGAGTTGTGAAAAGTAAAATAAATGGTAGGACGGAGTATAGGTAGTTTTACAATTGTTTTGCACCATTTTTAGCTGCTGGTTGGAAGAGGTCGCTTATAGCATATAAGGCCGCCAATTTTGTATTTTTTTATACAATATACAATTTTATTTATAGTTCTCCGTTGTTATTTCCGATATCGTCGCTGATAGAATGAACAATATGTATCTTTTTTTCCGGGAGGATGAAAAAGCTCTCCTTGTCAAACTTTGTTCAAAAACATCTTGATATTTAGTGTTTTTTTTTAATGGGACAGTATGGGGAAACCCGAAACCGTGTAGATACAAGGAAACTATCTTGGGAACCATTCAGTCTTTTTAGGAAAACAATTTTAGCATAATCCATTTTTTGGTTAAGCGTGAGTTATCCACAAACATAAATATAATTGATCAATTTTATTTGCCAATCGACTCAGTTTCATGAAGGGATAGAAAAATCGGGAGAGCAGAAGTTGGTCAAATTTTATAAAAAGTCTTTTTCATACAAAATATATAATAACATTTTATGAAATTTAACCTACTTCTGCTGTCTCAATTATTTCCTTCCATTACAATAAAATCACACTTGTAAGAAACTGAGTATATATGCATTAAAAAAATGACAATTTTATTCATTTTGTATGAAAAATCATTTTATTAAATTTGACCAACTACTGCTGTCCCGATTTGTTCTTCCCGTACAATGAAATCATACTTATAAGAAACTGAGTCTATTAGCATTAAAAAAAATATATACTCCCGGACACGTAATTCGAGCCACCTCGTATTTTTGTCGTAAAGGGCTAGAATACAAAAATAGTGTTATGATCGAAGAAAAAGTTTTCCCCGGTTTTGAAAATCTAAATTCCCAACAAGGAGTTGATGGAAAAGACGTTTAGTATACTAATTTCCAAATTGCATAATAGTTTTTGATCATACAAACATTGTTTTAGCTTAGGACACTTAATACTGAAAATGCGTGGTGGCTCGAATTATGTGTCCGGAAGTGTAGTAAATTTTACTAATTTTGTATCTAAAATATTTCATGAAATTTAACCAACTTGTATGTAATGATCCCTTCATGAAACTGAGTCGATTAACAAAAAATTTGTTCAATTTTATTATTTTTATGAACATTTCACACTTGACTGAAAAAATTTACCAAAATTATTTTCACAAAAAAAGAGAAAGAATGGTTCCTAGGTTCCTAAGACAGTTTCCTTGTACCTTTAACGGTTTTAGATTTCCCCATACAGTCCCATTTAAAAAACACTGTATATTACTGATACAATGATTGAACAAACACAATGAAAAACTCCTTCAACCCAACTGGCCACGAATAAATTTCTGTTGCCTCACCATTGCTACAGTCAAGTCAGATGGAAGGAATTTTTCATTGGACACACATCAAAAACATCTAGGGATCAAGGACGTTTTTGCTAATTACTGAAAATCGGGTTTTTGAATGAATATTTTGTAACATCTATGGATTTATCGAGATTTTTTGTAAAATAATTCCACAATTTTGGATTATGAATACAAAGATCTAACATACAGAAAAAATTCCTCTATTCCCACTAGTTCAGTTGTCCAGTTCAGTTGACTGAGCCAATGACATTTTTTTTTCTCGTTTGTTCAGTTGAAAATGAGCTTTAGCCCCTGGTTTAGTAGAGACTTTTTATTTCCTCTATTCCCGCTAGGTCAGTTGTCCATCCTCTCTCTCTACAGCAGTTCTGTTGTCCAGTAGTTAGTTGATTGAACTATAAAGAATTTCTATTTTGTTTGCACAGTTGAAAATAAAACAAGCGTTTTTGCTGGACCTGGTCAGAATTTTTTTTAAGTATCACCCAGATATCACCCATTTCTATCTGTCGGATCGACTCGGAATTTGGCATACTCATGTTAACTGAACAAATGGGAAAAAAAGAGTCTCGCTAATTCAGTCAACTGAACCAACGAGAAAAAAAATCTCATTAATTCAGTCAACTGAACTGGACAACAGAACTAGTGCGAATAGATCAAAAATTTTCGTCGACCCGGTGGGACTTGAACTCTCTGTTCTCAAACTGCGGTGAGAAAGTTATTCAAAAGTCTCTCACTCAATGCCGACAGCCAGTACAAAGATCTATAACAAAAACACACAGGAGAATTTCGACGGCTCGATAACTGGACCTGTAGCTCAGTTGGTTAGAGCAATGCTACGGTGCAGCATGGTCGTGGATTCAAGTCCCACCGGGTCGACGAAATTTTTTCTGTAACTTCGATCTTTGTATTCATAAGCATAACAAAACTAGTTGTTTCACAAAAAATATCAATACATACAAAAACGTGCTTGATCCCTAGACACTTTTGGTGTATGTGTTTGTTCAATCTTTTTATCAATAATAACAATAATAAAAATAACAATGAGTATTTTTTTACAAACAAAAATAGACAAATATCATGATAGTAAAAACATGACATTCAATAAAAACAAACCATTAATTAAAATTATTTTGTGTGTTGTTGAAATGCTACAGTGTTATTATTATTTTCTTTGACAAGTTGTTTGCGATCTCGTCTTAAAAAAAAATACAGTGGCGATATGTTAAATTTGAATTTTGGTGATGCGATGTGTCATGCATTAAAACTACATATTTCACAGTTTTTTATTACATGAGGCAGCACTGGCTAGGGTCCTGTGTAGGCGCCGCGAAGCCTGCTGGGGGCGCGCCAAGATCTCCCACCAGCTCCGTAGGGGGCTGACCGAGGTCTTGCATCTGGAACGAATATGAAATTAAATGGAAATGTTTATTTGTACAGTAAATATGTTGTTGTTTAAATAGATAGATAGATAATTCACAAGGCAGTACTTCTCACGACAAGCTCTTTCACAAGGAGCGCCATTTTTTTTATTGAATGCCCCGACATTTGACCACCATGATATTCAATTATTTTTGTAAAATGACTCCCCTACTTTCCTATAATTATTAATACAAATGATCCGGCTGGATTCGAACCAACGTTTTCCAGCAAACCGTGTCAGATTATCTATTATTACTAAATAAAAACAATATCTTTCATATGGTTTTGAAGTAGTCGAGTAACGTACCTTCTGCATTAGATCCAGCACTACTTCAAACCTCTTCCGTTTGACATCTTCAGGGTCAGATTCCTGTTCTGGTTCCAGTTCAGTGCAAACTTTAAGCATCAACTCTTGCTGTTTTTCGAATCTGTTAGCAAAAGGTATAATAATGGTACATGTGTTGATATTATTATTATTTTGGATATTACCACGGACCCGCCGAATAAACGAGTAAAAGATGTTACCGTATTTTTGTTCTTGCATTTTTGGATTTTCCCACTCAAAAACGTTATAATTTTTTTTTTCATATTTATTTTCCAATTAATTTTATAATTATTCGTACTACAATGCTTATTCATCGGAATATAAAATCAACAATCTCGCACGAATATTGCAAGTACGTATCTTGTATATTATCGATTCTAGCATGTTTATAATCACGAAAGAAAAACACAATGGAAGCGCCTTAAGCCTCGATTACTATGAGAACCGATGCCGCCTAAACTCACACATTCTTATCGAGTTCTTAGGTTTTCGCGATTGTTACACATAGGAAATGAAACTATTTTTCCGGATTTAAATCGCGTATATTTGTTTTTTCAAACAAACCGACTATTCGGGCCCTTTGCAGGTCACGGTTGACTGAGGTGGTACAGTCTTTAACCAGTTATGTCACCAGTTAGTTATGTATGTGTAATTAAATATAAGATATTTAATTAATAACTATTGTAACTATAGTGAAAAATAAAATAGGGTTTTTTTGCATCAATATTAGACATAACTGGTTAAAGATTGTACCATCTCAGTCAATCGTGACCATGCGACCTGTAAAGGGCCCGAAACGTCGGTTTGTTTGAAAAAACAAATATACGCGATTTAAATCCGGAAAAATGGTTTCATTCACAAATTCTTAATTTAGAACAAAACAAAATCTTGATATTGATTAGTCGTAGTTTCAAATTTAAAAAGTCTAGATGGTTAATAAAATTTAAACTTTACCGTGTTGGCATATGGTTGAAAGTTTAATACTATCAATACCTACTATTACAAGTTACGACGTTTTGATACATATTGAAATTTCAATCAATGTGCTGCCATCTAGCGGTTAATTGCTGAACGACTACGAATTGGTGTTATTAATTTAGTTCTCCAATAAAGAAGCGAAATACGAAATCGTGAAATACGAAATTGATAAACGTCTCTCTCTTTTTGCGTTAGGGTTTAAAATGATAGACAACCACTCGTATGGCTAACACATAACACAGTCTCCAACTCAGTTTCTGGATTAAAAGGGAATAGGTTTCAAAAATAAAGCAAAACGAGCCCATTCTATAAGACCTGTGGTCAGTTCTTTAGAAAAAGGTATCAACTAACCTCGTATATTCACTCGGTTCAACTTTTCCTTTGTTCTCCTGCAACCAAGCTGGATACTTATCAACGAGCTCCTTCAAGGAAGGATAAAGAACCTCCTTCGAAAGGAGGGATTGCATCATCCCTTGCATGAACGGGAGGAACATGTTGCCTTCCTGAAATAAAAAAAAATATGTAATATTTCTATTAATAGATGATAATGAGATTATGAACGAAATTTGGCGTGGGTGGATATTATTTCTGAACAATGAACGGACACAGTTTGTCCATAGTTTTCTGAGTTATATTGCTATGTCTTAACGGGTTGACAATTTTCTATAGGATTTAAATTTATTCAACAGTGAAATCCTCTGGGATTCAATTTAGTATTAAACTAAGAAGGATTTAAAAGTTGAATCCTGATGGATTCAAAAGTTGAATCCTGAGTGATTTATTGCAGTACTATACTAATAAGAATTTAAAAGTTAAATCCTAAGAATATAACAGAAGACTAAGTACAACCATCGTCAGATTAACCCGCCAGACTAATGGCGAAAGGTCAAACTTTTAATAAAAAGGTGGTAGAAATAGTGGTTTAATATTACTAAAAATATTATTGTGGCAGTTGCTCTATGTAATAATTAACTGTGTGAAAACCGGTATTTATAAATTTCATTAGATTGTTTATTTTTTGATGGTGATTTATGTATTTATTTACCCACAATAGAGGGACGAGCTGATAATTAATGCTGTGTTCGCGCATATGCTTCACACAGTGTATGTTGACCTTAATTCCCTATCACACACACTAATTGTAAAAAAAAACAAATTAAACAATTTAAGAAGTTTATTATTTGAGATTTTTGCGAAAAAACTCCACTAGTTTAGTTATAATTATTAGATGGATAGATATACACTTTATTGCTCGCTTTTAATTAATTAGCAAATATATGTTCTTTTTTACGTATATTTATTTGATATTATACCTTTTTGTTATTTTATATGTTTTGTTTTACGATTTATTTTTCTTTTTTTTCGTTACTTGTTTCATATTACTGTGTGTGCTTGTGGAAAGTCAATAAACGTATTCTATCTATCTTACTGCTCACACACAGGACCAAAAACAGTACATAGACAGCTTAAAACTAATGTGGGCAAGGGCGGCCTTATCTCTAAGAGCGATCACTTCCAGACAACCTTTGAGATATAGGTAAACTAATCAGAGCGGGATAAGTAGTGTGCCAATAGCAAAATTTGAATTGTATAGAAAAACAATAATTAAAATTATATTTTGTTAAATAATAAATAACGATATAGTATTCCTACATGTATATTAGTATATATAAATATACCTAAATAAACTTATACTTTGTTATAATTATTAATACCAAGATCGAACACTCAGAAAAAATTCCTTCGATCCGGTCGGATTCGAACCGACGTCTTCTAGCTTACCGTGCCAGACGCTATACCAACTAAGCTACGGAACGAACCAGCGGACCTCACGAATTTATCTATGTGCTTGCGTCGTGTCTTTGTATTTGGTTTTTAACGACTTTTTAGTCGTAACGCCATCTATGAGAAATATATGAAAGATTTATCACCCAGTTAGTACCTTTACAGCTACCAGTCCTGGCGAGAGATGTCGCTATTCGCTATATCTTAAATTTTTATTGAATTGTTATTCAATTATTTTTTGGGAAATTACTCCACTAGTTAGTTATAATTATTAATACAAATGCTTAGTTGGTATAGCGTCTGCCACGGTAAGCTAGAAGACGTCGGTTCGAATCCGGCCGGATCGAAGAATTTTTTTCTGAGTGTTCGATCTTTGTACTAATAATTATAAAAACGACAGAATATCACCGGGCTGTCTTTTCTCTTTAACGTAACAGCTTCCAAAAGTATGCTCTGGTCGTATACACACTAACTTACCTGTGCGCCATCACCTAGACTAAAGTTATTGAACATATTCGCCAAATCTTGGTCTGAGAAGGGTGTCTGCAGGTTTTCCGCATTCGAGTTCAGGTTTTGCAATGTCTGTGATATCGCTGCTGATACCTGAAATTATATATCTCATATATATCTCCACCTAACGTACATCTAAAAATATATGGGTTTGGGGGACAAAGTTGCATGTTTGGCGCCAAGGGCTGCATGTTTGGCAGTTCGTGATTTATTCTGCTTTTTCCAATGCAGTCAAGCTGTGGTACCTCATCTATTTTTTCTTTGACCGCAGGGTCCTCTGCCTCCGTGCTTTCAGCCGTTTCACCACCCGGCTTCAGTATTTGTGCAGCCGCTTCTGAAACCATGTGGAGATTTTTGTGAACCTTCGCCTAATGCATTTATAACGTCGCGGCAGAGTGGCAATTTGATAGAATACTCGAATGGCACCTCTATTACTGTCGCTAGTGTTACCAAATCGACAGCTAATAATTCTATCAATTAATTTCTTTTTAATTTACAGTGTTAATAAATACATGGCGCTAGCGCAATAAAATATAAATATTACTCGTAGACAAAATCACATACATTGCTCTGATCCAAAAGTAAGTAACTTGACGAAATACTTTCATAGATTTCTCATAGATGGCGCTACGACTAAAAAGTCGTTGAAAAACCAAATACAAAAACACGACAACAAGCACATAGAAAAATTCATGAGGTCCGCTGGTTCGTTTCGTGGCTTAGTTAGTATAGCGTCTGCCACGCTATGCTAGAAGACGTCGGTTCGAATTCAAAGGGATCGAAGAATTTTTTTCTGAGTGTTCGATATTTGTATTAATAAATAGTAAGTAACGTGTTATATGAAACAACGACATTACTATAAACACCCAAAACCGAGACAACATAGAAGAGTTAGTTTTCTACATTGACCCGGCCGCACCTCAAAAATGGCGACACCATGAAGACCGGTGTGCAACCACGGAGGTAACAGATCATAGATTAGAACCTGACATACTTTACGGTTGTGTCTTTTTTGGATTTTGTCTATACGTTACAGCAAACAAATAGACTTCAAGACTTCCCCTTTAGCGACAGCGCATTCCTAACTTACATACATTTGTGAATTTTAAGTAGCCAATATCTCTCGCTAACGTTGAAGGAAAATATCGTGATGATATCTGCATGCCTTAGAAAATTTACAACTATTGGACAACGTGTGATGTCCCCAACTGCGTAACTGTGGCCTAAATCTTCTATTTAAAGGAGACCCTTGCCCAGTAGTGGGACGTATAATGGGTTGATGGTAATGAGAATAAATAATCGAACTTCCCATGCGCACGTCAAAATATCAGGCTATGTAATTAGCATAGTCCTCAAATGCTGACTCATGGACATTTTTGACATGTTTTTTGTGTTTTTAGTGATACCAAGTAACGGGACGGACAAGTCGTGGGCCTATTGGTAAGCGACACGCCTGTCCATAACAGTTGCAGTGCCACTCAGAACTCTAAATCGCATAGACCTCAACCAGCACCCTTACCCTTCCGACAAAACCCGTAACGAACAGCCTTTGCCGGGAAGTCACACGGTACATAAATCCGTGTTCGTTTTTTGAACGTAATGCAAACATTCCGAGCAGGTTTGAGAAATATTTATTTAACAATAACACTATTGTTATAATACAATTATGACATAACTTCCAGCAAGCCTCTGTATCACAAGTCTTATTGTTAAACCAGAATTTGATCGTCATCACGGAATCATCTCCTAAAATGCTGAAAAATAAAATCACAAGATTTTTTCAACGTAAACTTTTAAAAATTAGTCACAATGTTGATGGACTCCCAAAATAAATGTTCAAGAATAATTACAACGTTAACACGTTCAATTTGAGGTGTGAAAGACGGTGCTATAAAAATAGATGCATGACTAGGATACTGAATGACCTTGATGTGTCATTCTGGGTGCTTAAAAAGGAATTCATTCCCGATAGAACTAATTTAGAAGAGTGTCGACACGTCCCGTTGA